CTCACCCTCAGAGATGTTCCAGTAAGCTTCTTTGATAGACTAGCCTCCTTCCTTCTAGTCTGGGTCCAGCAATCACTCACACCCCTGTAGTTACTGTCCTTTGTTCCAGTTTCTTTCCGGTATCCTTTGGGGTGGAGAGGCTATTTCTTGAGCCAGCTGAAGACAAAATGGAGGGGTTTCCCCAGGGGCTTATATAGTCTCTCTTATGGGTGGAAACCCCTTCTTCTCTCCTATGCAGAATCCAGCTACCAGATGGAGTTTTGGAGTCACATGGGCAAGTCACATGTCCATGCATGACTCAGTTCTTTACAGGCTGATGACACACTCCAAGGAAAGCTCAAATGTGGATTGACATCTCTCAATGTTCATTGTCAGCTTAAGTGTTTCTTGATTGGGCACTTACTGAGAATAGCCTTTTCTCAAGAAGCTGACCAAATGCTTCACTGAGGCTACTTAAAATCAAACAAGTACATAGCCAATATTCATAACTTCAAATACAAAAATGATACATGCATACAAATTGGATGAATATATCCAGTAGCTCATAACCTTTGCAGAGATATGTTACATGGCATATCTAGCATAAAACATACTCCAGTTATGTCATATTTACACTCATAAACATATTTCTATAAAGCATTATGGGGTGCAATGTCACAGAGCAAGTTTCTGAACAGAAGAGAACAAGAAGGGCTGTCTGCTATAACTGAAAAGAAGATGGCATCTCAGGATGCAGCCACCAATTTTTGTGCTGCCTGTGAGCACACAGTGTGGGGAGGGGATCCAGAGCTCAAGCACACATCTGCCCTCCCCTGAGAGAGAGAGAGAGAGAGAGGAACTGAGGAGAGGAGAAGGGGAGGAAGAAAGAGAGAGAGAGAGAGAGAGAGAGATGCTGAGAGCTCCAACAGCACCTGGCATCAAAGACAAATAATTTTCAAAACTATGAATAATAGCAGCCTTGACAGTGGCACTAGCTATGGATCTGCATAGAATCATAGAACTGGAAGGGACCTCGAGAGGTCATCTAGTCTAATCCCCTGCACTCCTGGCAGGACTAAGTATTATCTAGACCATCCCTGACAGGTATTTATTTAACCTGCTCTTAAAAATCTCCAGTGATGGAAATTCCACAATCACCCTAGGCAATTTATTCAAGTGCTTAACCACCCTGCTAGTTAGAAAGTTTTTCCTAATGTCCAACCTAAACCTCCCTTGCTACAATTTAAGTCCACTGCTTCTTGTCCTATCCTCAGACGTTAAGAAGAACAATTCTTCTCCCCCCTCCTTGTAACAACCTTTTATGTACTTGAAAACTGTTATCATGTCCCCTCTCAGTCGTCTCTTCTCCAGACTAAACAAACCCAATTTTTTCAATCTTCCCTCATAGGTCATGTTTTCTAGACCTTTAATTATTTTTTGTTGTTCTTCTCTGGACTTTCTCCAATTTGTCCACATCTCTCTCGAAATGTGGCACCCATAATTAGACACAACACTCCACTTGAGGTCTAATCAGTGTGGAGTAGAGTGGAAGAATCACTTCTCGTGTCTTGCCTACAACACTCCTGCTAATACATCCCAGAATGATGTCCGCTTTCCTTGCAATAGTGTTACACTGTTGACTCATATTTAGCTTGGGGTCCACTATGATCCCCAGATCCCTTTCCTCAGTACTCCTTCCTAGACAGTCATTTCCCATTTTGTATGTGTGCAACTGATTGTTCATTCCTAAGTGGAGTACTTTGCACCTGTCCTTATTGAACTTCATCCTATTTACTTCAGACCATTTCTCAAGTTTGTCCATTTCATTTTGAATTTTAATCATATCCTCCAAAGCACCTGCAACCCCTCCCAGCTTGGTATCATACACAAACTTTATAAGTGTACTCTCTATGCCATTATTTATATCATTGATGAAGATATTGAACCGAACCAGACCCAGAACTGATCCCCGCGGAACCCCACTCATTATGCCCTTCCAGCATGACTGTGAACCACTGATAACTACTCTCTGGGAATGGTTTTCCAACCAGTTTTGTACCCATTTTATAGTAGCTCCATCTAGGTTGCATTTCCCTAGTTTGTTTATGGGAAGGTCATGCAAGACAGTATCAACAACTTTACTAAAGTTAAGATATACCACATCTACTGCTTCCCCCCATCCACAAGGCTTGTTACCCTGTCAAAGCAAGCTATCAGGTTGATTTGACATGATTCGTTCTTGACAAATCCATTCTGACGGTTATTTATCACCTTATTATCTTTTAGATGTTTGCAAGTTATTGCTTAATTATTTGCTCCATTATCTTTCCAGGTATAGAAGTTAAGCTGACTGGTCTGTAATTCCCCGGGTTGTCCTTACTTCCCTTTTTGTAGATTGGCACTATATTTTCCCTTTTCCAGTCTTCTCGAATCTCTCCTGTCTTCCATGATTTTTTAAAGATAATTGCTAATGGCTCAGATATCTCCTCAGTCAGCTCCTTAAGTGTTCTATGATGCATTTCATCAGGCCCTGGTGACTTGAAGACATCTAACTTGTCTAAGTAATTTTTAACTTGTTCTTTCCCTATTTTATCCTCTTCTGATCCTACCTCATTTTCATTGGCATTCACTGTGTTAAACGTCCAATCACCACCAACTTTCTTGGTGAAAACCAAAACAAAGAAGTCAATAAGCACCTCTGCCATTTCCACATTTTCTGTTATTGTTCCCCTCCCACACCATTGTGTAATGGGCCTATCCTGTCCTTGGTCTTCCTCTTGCTTCTAATGTATTTGTAGAATGTTTTCTTGTTACCCTTTATGTCTCTAGCTAGTTTGATCTCATTTTGTGCCTTGGCCTTTCTAGTTTTGTCCCTACGTACTTGTGTTATTTGTTTATATTCACCCTTTGTAATTAACCTAGTTTCCTCTTTTTGTAGGACTCTCATGATCCCAATTCCCCCACCCCCACCCCCTGTTCCCATTCCCCCCTTACTTCCTGATTGACTGCAGACTATATAGTAAAACTTGAGTTCTGCTTAGCTATACCTTAACCAATCATTTTACTGAAATTTAACTAACCAATCCTAACATACTGTAACATGGTTATTTAACCAATTATATCCCACCATCATCCTCGCTGCCAGGCATTCACCTCCAGGATGCATCTGTCTCTGCCTGGGCCCATACCCTTGACCGGAAGGTTCGAAGAGAACACCACCTGTGCTCCCAACTCCTTCACCCTTACTCCCAGAGCCCTGTGGTCACTTCTGATCTGCTGAGGATCAGACCTTGCAGAATCATTAGTGCCCACATGGATGAGTAGTATGGGGTAGTAGTCAGAGGGCCAGATGATCCTCGACAATCCCTCCGTAACGTCTCAGATATGGGCCCCTAGCAGGCAGCATACCTCCCAGGATACCATGTCAGGGCAACAGATGGGTGCCTCTGTCCCCCTCAGAAGAGGGTCATCAATCACCACTATCCTATGTATCCTACTGGGAATGGTAGCTGTGATCCTTCCAGCCTTGGGGGTACATGGCTTCTCCTCCTCCAACTTTGGGGGTGATTCCTCATCGCTCATTGCCAGGGCAGCATAATGGTTTTCCATCATGCATCTAAGCATGCAGATAGCACTGAGATTGGTGCTAGACAGAGAGCAACAATTATTGGGGCCATTGATCCTCCTGCTTCAGGGCATAAACTACTACATGAATAAATGTCCTTTCCTCCCCCTGCCCAACACACATCCAGACTCCATGTATTGTGTTATGAAAAGGCTCTTTATGGGGGACTTTAAACCTTCATTTTGCATTGACCACCCTGTATTCACCTGCACTGCTGGGATTTAACTAACTCCCCAGTGCCTACAGTGCTTTGGATTCCCATGAATGGAGAAGAAAGGGCCTAGATTACCAGGACTACCTTCTATTAACGTTCTTGGCTATGGCCACTGGAGGGCGATGTAGCACCAACAAAACAAAGCAGTAAAGAGCAAACCAAGAGGTTGGAACAACCTTTCAGGGAGTGTTTGTAAATACAGGAGGGGCCTAACAGTGTGCCAGTGACTGGGGCCTAACAGTGTGCCAGTGACTGGGTGTGGAGGAGAATGGCTGGACGAAGGAGAGATGGGGAGATTCACAGAGTATGGTTTCTTTTTCTGACTGGAGAGTTTGCGAGTTTGGAGATGTAGAGATAATGAAAAGTGCCTAAAACTAGTTGGTGATACTCAGTGGATGGAATCACAGTGCAGATATTCCCCTGCTGTGTGTATAAATAGTAGGGGAAAGGTCACTGACTGCGCTTGGAGACAGACACACTCCTTGCACAAAGTATGTGTCTCAGGAATTTCATTTTCACACAAACAAGCACATAAGCCTTGACTCCCACAGTCACTCTCAAATTGGTTAATCAATGGCTAAATGATGAATGTCACAACAGGAGCACAGACATCATGGCAACTGTGATCTATTGTGATCTTTGCTGTGGCAGAGGGTGTGGCTATTGAGTCAGGGTGATCATTTATCTGTATTATTCCCTATGCACAGGCAAAGAGTAACATTGTGGAAGAGTACAGGCCTGAAACAGGAATGAAGAAACAGGCAGCACTAGTGCAGGCTGCATCTATACTTGACACACCCACCCACCACCTCCTCACTAATGTACCTCACTCAAGAGGGTGGAGTCAGAGCTCATTCAAAAAGCCCTTTTTAGTGGTTGATCTCTTTGTTCAGATGATCATTTAGGGTGTCGTGAAGTCACCCCTGTAGTCATGTGACCTAGGCCCATTGACTTGCAGGTCATCTGTGTCTCAGCTGGGAATCCAGATCATCGCTCCCAGGCAGGGAGGAATGTGCAAAGGCCCCTCTGGTTCTGCTGTTGTGTCTGTGAGTGTAAGAGCCTGGAGCCATACCACAAACAGATCCCTTCTGTTGTCTCCAGGTGTAGGAGAAGAACCAGCCCTACAGAGCAGAGCTGTATAAAGGGCAGTGCTGGGGGAACATCCCTGCTAGTGAGGCAGAGATGGGGATGCAAATGGTCTGGTACGTGTCCATCTGTTTCATGGCAGCAAGTAAGTCATTGGCTGAAAGGTGAATCCCCATCCCTGTGTTTGCAGGACATGGCTCTGAACATTTCCCTCTGTGACATTTTTTTTGTCGCAGTCTCACATGTTTTGTCTCTTTCCCTCACAGGATGCTCAGGTGCTCAGATCAACCAAACCCCAAGTCTGGTCCTGAAAAAGGGACACCGAGCCCAGCTCATATGTGAACAAACCTATGGGCATAGCAACATGTTCTGGTACCGGCAGGACCCGCGACAGGGTTTGCAGCTGCTCTTCCTCTTTGTTCATAAACAACAAACAGACAAAGGCAACGTCACTGATCGATTCCAAGCTGAAAGGCCGCAGACTGAGCTCCTTCACTTGGACATCTCACCCGTGAAGCCAGAGGACTCGGCTGTGTATTTCTGTGCCAGCAGCTCAGACACAGTGCTTCAGAGTCACCTCCTTCCCCTGCAAAAACCTCCTCCCCTTGCTACTGCAGCTCCCTTCCCAGAGAGGGGCTTCCCTCTGCATCTCTACCCACAGCCAGTGCAGTAAGAGGGAGGAGAGGAGGAGGAAGTCACAATCTATGTCAACACTATATGGGTACCTACAGAAATGAGGAGGGGATTAAGGCCCACTCCTCTGGGTAAGAGGAAATGGGATAGGACAGCGCCCCTGGGAGATCCATGCAGGACACACAGGCGCAGCACTAATATAATCTGCCACTGTGTCCTGGCCCTGTGTCCATAGATACATCTGCCCCCCAAATTCTTAACTAACCAGTGATGTGTAGTATCTGGGAGCAGAACCCACACTCTCACACTCGAAAAGAGCAGGACTAAGCCTGCCAAGTGAGCAGAGTTGAACCACTTGCTCTGCCCTCAGTGGGAACTGATACAAACAGAAGGTTTGGCATATCCCATCCAGTAGGGGGTATCAGCACATACTGATAAAAAATGCACCATGGGGCATGTGGTCCTGTACACAGTCCTTAGTACCCTAGAAGAAAGTCTCATAGCAGAGCAGTAATGGGAGCAGAAAAACGGCTGCATGGTTTTTGCTCAGGAGCCCTCTGCCCTTGGATTTTCCATCAGTGGTGAGTGCACAGGAACATTTTTCTCTGTGCAGAGTAACACACTTCCATCTCCTTTGTTCTCTCCATGTTTGTCAGCACCCTTCCATCCTTGTCTCTTCTCATGTTTCTGCCCACCACCTTGAGAGCTCTCACCTACTTTCCATGCCACCCCTTCCAAATGAAAAACTAAAACTGTATCTTAGTTCCTTAGTCTGTAAACTAAGAGTTGTAACTAACAGTTTACTTGTCAAATATTTCAATTGAAAGCTTCCTGGGGCAGGTGCTGTCAGCCATTGGGTCCAAAAATGTGCTACGCACTTTACAGACAAATAAGACCAAGGCCATGTCTACATTGCACTTTCGCCAGTAAAACTTTTGACGCTCAGGGGTGGACAGCTCTCTCTTGCCAACAAAGAGCGGCAACACTGCATACCTTACAGCAGCACGGCTGTAGCAGCTGCTGTAAGGTGCACAGTGTAGACATAGCCTTAGATTGTGTATTTGAGTTTCTCTGTGTCCACCATGAGACATCTTAAAGAGGATTGGTTTTCAAAGGAAAGGTACTTAAGACTTCCTAAAAATCAGACCCCTTTACACTGTTTTAAGTTAGATATACATGTGAGGGTACCCCCCATAAGGCTTTATGGAATATGCTTATGAATGTATGTATGACATAACTAGAATATGTTTTAGGCTACATATGCCATGTAACATATCTGTGTAAAGGTTATGATATACTGAGTGTATTCATCCTATCTGTATACATGTATCATTTTTGTATTTGAAGTTATGAATATTGGCTGTGTACTGGCTTGATTTTAACTAGCCTAGTAGAGCATTTGGTCAGCTTCTTGAGAAAAGTGCAAATTAAGTGCCCAATCAAAAACCACTTAAGCCAACAATGAACTTTAAGATGTCAATCCACATCTGAGCTTTCCCAGGAATGTGGCTTGGCTGGTAAAAACTGAGTCATGCATGGACATGTGGCTTGCCCATGTGACTCCAAAACTCCATCTTGGAGCTGGACTTTGCATAGGAGAGAGGAGGGGGTCTCCACCCACAAGAGAAAGTCTATTTAAGCCTGTGGGAGATCCCTCCATTTTGGTCTTCAGCTGGCTAAAGAGAGAGCCTCTCCACCCCCAAGGATGCCTGAAAGAGACTGGAACAAAGGACAGTAACTACAGGGGGTGTGAGTGATTGCTGGACCCAGACTAGCAGGAGACTAGTCTGTAAAAGGAAGCTTACTGGAACTGGTGTATTTGTATTCTGTTTCTTAGACAGACTTGCGTGTTTTATTTTATTTTGCTTGGTAATTAACTTTGTTCTGTCTGTTACTACTTGGAACCACTTAAATCCTACTTTCTGTATTTAATAAAATCACTTTTTACTTATTAATTAAACTCAGAGTATGTATTAATACCTGGGGCGGGGACCAAACAACTGTGTATATTTCTCTATCAGTGTTATAGAAGGTGAACAATTTATGAGTTTTATACAGGGTAAAAACAGATTTATTTGGGGTTTAGACCCCATTGGGAGTTGGGCATCTGAGAGTTAAAGACAGGAACACTTCTGTAAGCTGATTTCAGGTTAAGTCTGCAGCTTTGGGTCACTTGGTTCAGACCCTGGGTCTGTGTTGGAGCAGACTGGCGCATCTGGCTCAGCAAGACAAGGTGCTGGAGTCCCGAGCTGGCAGGGAAATCAGGGGCAGAAGTAGTCTTAGCACATCAGTTGGCAGTTCCCAAGGGGGTTTCTGTGATCCAACCCGTCACAATACGTTAGATATATCACTGGGTATTTTGGAAAATCTGTATGTTAGTTTATAATAATAATCAACTTCATGCAGTAGGTAGGTGATTAGCTACATTAAGTTAATGGGGTACTTGGGACAGAGGAAAGATGCATTGTTAGAGTTTTGTCCTTTCAGAAGATACATTAACCCAAACTCCCCTTCAGTGGCTCTAATGGGCTGTCTGGACAGATGTTAAAATTCCCCAGATATTTTCTTAAGGAGATGGGGGATAACCCCAGTCCTTCAGGCTGTATGTACACTACAGAGCCTATGCTGGCCTAGCTATGTAGGTATAGCTATACTGACAGAGCCCCCTAATGTAGACACAGCATACTCTGACAACAGGAGCTTTTCTGCCAGTGTAGGAACTCCCCCTCCCTGAATGACATTAACTATGCTGACGAAAGTGCGCTTCTGTCTGCATAGCTGCATCTCACTGGGGTTTAGCCAGCATAGCTATGTCACTGGGGGCTGGTTTTATCACTGACTGACATAGCTATGCCAGTATAAGTATTAAGTGTAGACCGAGCCTCCTTAAAATAGGTTATAAGCCTGAGGTTGCTGTGAGCTGATGCTCAGCAAAATGGCCTCTGCAATGTCTACGCAGTGTCTATACTAGAACACGCATTGAGCTGATTCCACAATCAGCTCATCCAAATAATGGTTTCCATCTCACAGCTGGGAATTGAGATCACCTCTCAAGAGGGTCCAGCAGGATAAGCCTGAACCTCCTCAGAAGTCTCCTTTGGGTCTGCCTGTGCAGGAGCCAATGGTGGTGACAATGACAACAGGTCCCGCCTATGGGTGCTGATAGCAGAGCCATATAAAAGTCAGTGCTGGGGAACACCTCTAAAGATGGAAATGCAGCTAGTCTGGTGCATGGCCTTTTGTCTCTTAGGAGCAAGTACGTTTTTGGCTAAGTCATGAAATCCTTGTCCTGGAGTTTACAGGGTGCAGCTGTGGAGGTTTCCCCAGGAGCCACTGGTTTCACTGTGTCTCTCTCATGTGTTTTGTCTCCTTCCCACAGGAGGTGCAGATGTCAGCTTCAATCAGACACTGAGTCTGGTACTGGAGAGAGGAAAAACAGCGGAGCTACAATGTGAACAAAATATTAATTATGATTACATGTACTGGTACCAGCAGCTTCAGGGCAAAGGATTGCACCTGATCTATTACTCCTATGATACAGCTAAAGTAGAGCCAGGAAATATTTCTGAGAGAGTCACAGCCATCCGTCCACAAACTCAGCTCTTTCAGTTGAAAATCTCACCTGTGAAGCCTGAGGACTCGGCTGTGTATTTCTGCGCCAGCAGCTTAGACACAGTGCTTCAGAGTCACCTCCTCCCTCTACAAAAAACACCTCCCCTTCCTGAACACCACTTCAGAGAGAGGAACGCCATCTCCCACAGAGGAGGGAGGTGTGCTGCCACACAAAGGAAAATAGCTCATGGTCTATATTTAAGAGCTCCAGAGAGGAGTAAACTTCTGATTATTACATAAGATGATGCATTCCCCAGAGATCCCCAGCTCCCATTCTGATAGCCCTCTACTTTTTCAAGCACCACAAACCCCTACGCAAACTGCTAAACCCAATACTAAGTCCACCCTAGCCCCATTGTGATCCTGATCCCCTCCGTTCATTCCCAGTAGCCAAAGCCTCGCCCCATCTTTCCCCTGAATAACCACTCAGGGTATGTCTCGACTGAAAACACAAGGTGTGATTGCAGCTCAAGATGACATATTCGAGTGAGCTTTAATCTAACTAGTTTAGGTCCTGGGGCAGTGAAGCTGCAGTAGTCCAAGCTTCGATGCGGGCTAGCCCCACCAGTAATTACCCAGGGTTCCGGGTGGGTTTGTTCTGAAACTCACATGGATGCAGTTTAACTACCCAAGCTAGTGAAATTAAAGCATGGCCATTTGTCTCTTGGGAACATATATGTCATCAGCTGAGATATCAAACCTCATCCTTGTGTTTGCAGGATACAACTTTATTGCCATGAGCCATTTGCTTGACTGGGTCCATCTTTTGTATTTTGTCTTTTTCCCTCCTCGGGCCACATAGGGAGTCTGGCAATGGAGAGACGGCAGTAAAGACAGCTGTCTTGGAAACTAAATGATAGGTATGATAGTCTACCTGGTACTAGCAGCCTCTGTGAAAGGCTCTGCAATTGATCTCCTGGTCTGGTACCATAAAATATGTAGAGAAATGTGGTGTTCCGGGGGGATTTGCAGGTGCTCACTGGGAGACGTGGTTCTTTCAGTCAAATCCCTCTCCAATGAAGTGAATGACTCAGCTGTGTCTTTCTGCACCAACATGTAGACGTATAGCACCTTAAAAGCTTCCTCCTATGTAGTAAGACTTCTCCTCCCTCCTTTGGGAGAGCAGCTCTCTCTTACCAGCCGTGCACATTGTTCAGGGTTGGAAGGGACACTGGCTATGCTCTAGATTAACCTTTAAAACAAGTAAGTTGCAACTGCAGATAAGTCAAGTTGCTTATGTGACACTGACAGATCCCAGTCATCAGTGGACAGGATTGAACTTGGGACCTCAGGAGATGTGCAGTTTACACTTACACAGTGCTCCCAAAGCACTCCCTAGCATGCCCATACCAGCTGTTTACTTCTCCTGCACAGTCCCCTCAATGCCAAGCACCCAAATCCCTGCTCCAAAGTGCTGAAGCTGCTTACAGTGCCTTCTTTACTTCTGGTCTTCATTTCTTCCAGACACTGAGTCCTCACTTAACCACCAGTAACAACCAGGCCTTGTCTAGACCTGGGGAAAAGGTGAGTTTTTTTCAATTGTATTAGTCCAATCAGCTAGCTGGACTCCACAGAAACCCCACTTAACTCCAGTGCAGGCACAGTTTAATGCTTCTAGTTCAGTTTTATCAGATCCAGCCCAGGCTCCCCCTGGGCATAAACTCCATCAGTTTAACATATATTAAAGTACAATTGCTTTCTCCTCACTTGAGTTTTAGGAGGTGTCAATTAGACTGAGCTAGGTAACTGGACCCAACTTCACACCTTTTAATCCTGATCTAAACAAGACCTCATCTCCCCTAAGAAGCACCCTAAACAGCCCCAGCTGGTTAACCCTTATTCAGCCCTCCTAACAGACATCTCAAACCTTTACTCCCAGCTTGAACCTCCTCTTAACCACCTTGGTTACCCTAGGCTACTTCCTACCACAGTCTGGGCGGGGAAGTCTAGTAGTCCAAAGGTCCTCTGGGTACACAACGGACAGCAGTCCTGGTGACTCCTTTACAGGTACAGTCTCCTCCAGGGGCAGGACCCTGCAAAGCGCAGGTTCAGCTCCAGGGTTCCGCAGCAAAGTGGAGACGTCTGTCTCCTACCCTGGTTCCCATTCAACTGAGCTGCAGAGCACTCCCTTTCTACTTTCTGTCCCACCCTGGTATTTCCGGCGAGAGGGGGGAGTATAGTGGTCCCTCATTCTCAAGTCCAGAGGGAGAGAGGCCGCTCCGCATACTGTTCCTTCCTCCACCAGTTGGATGTCTTCTAAATGTCATTAGGCAACGTTTCTGAGGGTGAAGTTGATAAAGTGCCAGCTGCACAAGAGAAAAATGATGACAGACCAGAACTTTGTTTTCTTTTCATTAAAATATAGTAACATACAATCACATGCAAACTTATGGAGAGAGCAGATCTGACAAAGCCTGTACAATGAAAATTCACTCAGTATGTGTATGCATCTTTTTTCTCGTAATTGTTCAGTGTATGGCCCCAGCCCTTATTTTCTGCACATTGTTCAAACCTTGTTCTGAAGAAAGGATTTTTAATTTCTTCATGTTTTTTCCTAGGGTGCTCATCACTACAGCACCTGAGTGCTTCACAGACATTGACTGATTAATTTCACAAGCCCTGTGAGGAGAGGGAGTATTATCTCCATTTTATAGATCAGAAGTCTGAGACCCAGAGAGATTAAGGTCAACATTTTTCACTATTTTTGGGGGGGAGGGGGCAGTTTGAAATGCCTAGCTCCTGATTTTTCAGAGTACACATCTACCTCGATATAACACTGTCCTCGGGAGACAAAAAATCTTACTGCGTTATAGGTGAAACTGCGTTATATTGAACTTGCTTTGATCCACCAGAGTGTACAGCCCCGCCCCCCCGGAGCGCTGCTTTACCGCATTATACCCGAATTCGTGTTATATCGGGTCGTGTTATTTCGGGGTAGAGGTGTACTTAGCATGTTGTAACACTTCATATGTTCAAGCATAGCTCCCTTAGACTTTGTTGCATCTATGATTGCTCTGCACCTCTACAAATCAGAACACAGAGTCTCAAGTTGGGCACTCTGAAAATAAGGAAGCCTGGTTTAAGTGACTTACCCAGCATCACAGAGGAACTCTGTGGCAGAAGCCGGGATGAATCCAGTTCACCAGGGTAGCATTTAAGTTCCTTAATCATTAGACTATCCTTTCCCTTCCTGCAATCCCTGTCCTTATTCACTACACACCTTCTTGTTTCTGTAAGAAATGAGGCAGATAACAGGTTCACCTACTCCACAACCTTGATTCATCCACAGAATAGGTTCATCTTGTGCACTGAATGAGGCAAAGATCCTGTAGAACATTCCACCATGAGCAACAAAGGTCATCAAAGGGAGTGTGGCCACACACCCTTAGCACTGGTCCCTACAGTGGTGAATACCCTTCACCTAATCTCCCTGCTCCTCCCACAATTCCCCTAGAAAAAGCCCATCCCTCAAAAGATATGCCCCCCATTTTATCTAATTTGTAATGGGGTATTGGAATGGAAGTCTGGGGAGAAGTACATACCTATCCTGAAGGCTCATGACAAAAGGGGCTAGAGACACCTCCCTGAAGTACCAGGACTGTATGCTGAGCCCAGTTGGGGATGATGGTTGGATTTCCTTTTTATTTTTTATTTTTCCTTATCTGGGATCAGAAGCGAAGGGGCAGTGGTAGGAAGTGACCCAGGGAGGGTAACTCAGAGGGTCCACCTCCCACAGGGGTGAATGCTGCTGACCCTCCTAGGGCTCTGGGTCAGAGGCTGGTGAAGTGGGTGGGCCTGGGCTCCCCTACTACTATCCCACGACTGACTGGACACTAACCACTAGGCCAAACAAACCACCAAGGACCCTACTACATAATTCCATCACCAAAACACTCCCACACCCCTCACATCATCTTTCCTGTTTGTGAGTAGCAGGTCAAGAGGAGCACAGCCCCTAGTGTGTTCCTCCAGCACTTGCACCAGGAAGTTGTCCCCAACACTCTCCAAAAACTTCCTGGGTTGTCTGTGCATTGCTGATTTGTTCTCTCAACAGATGTCAGGGTGATTGAAGTCTCCCATGAGAACCAGGGCCTGTAATTTGGAAACTTCAGTTAGTTGTCCAAAGAAAGCCTCATCTACCTCATCCTTCTGGTCTGGTGGTCTATAACAGATGCCCACCATGACATCACCCTTGTTGCTCTCACCTCTAAACTTAACCCAAAGACTCTCAACAGGCTTTTCTCCAGTTTCATACTGGAGCTCTGAGCAATCATACCACTCTCTTACATAAAGGGCGACTCCTCCACCTTTTCTCCCCCGCCTGTCCTTCCTGAACAGTTTATACTCATCCATGACAGTGCTCCAGTCATGTGAGTTACCCCACCAAGTCTCTGTTATTCCAATCACATCATAGTTCCTTGACTCTGCTAGGACTTCCAATTCCTCCTACTTGTTTCCCAGGCTTCTTGTGTTTGTATACATGCACCTAAGATTATTAGTCAATTGCCTCTTCCCCAGCTCATCACTAGATGTCAGGGGAGAGCACATTCAGACCCTGCTTACATCATATTTCTCAAACTACAAACTAACTCCATTTTGAATATGGAGCTTCTTTGTCTCCTCTGTTATTTCTTTACCTCTGTGGTAGACTGAAATCTCAATGGGTGGTGACATAAGGCTAAGAATAGAGGGTTGTTAAACGTTGATGGTGTTAGTGATATTAATATAGTATTCAGGCCTAGCTATTTTCCTGAGATAGAATTTGGGGGTTTGTTTGCCCGTTTGATTTATGATATACTTATATTCTCACTAACATGTGTGAACAAAGAACAAAGAAACTGTGAGTTGCATCTGCCCACAACCAGATGGGGTTTATAGCACAATGAGAAAAGATAAGGAAGAGAGTTAAAGTGTTGCTGGTTTTTGTGGGAGTTTAAAATGCCTCAACTCCTATCTCAGCCTCACCTCCCTGGAAAAATCATGGAGCAGGTCCTCAAGGAATCAATTTTGAAGCACTTTGAGGAGAGGAAAGTGATCAAGAACAGTCAACATGGATTCACCAAGGGCAAGTCATGGCCGACTAACCTAATTGCCTTCTATAATGAGATAACTGGCTCTGTGGATGAGGGGAAAGCAGTGGACATGTTATTCCTTGACTTTAGCAAAGCTTTTGATATGGTCTCCCACAGTATTCTTGCCAGGAAGTTAAAGAAGTATGGGCTGGATGAATGGACTATAAGGTTTATAGAAAGCTGGCTAGATCATCGGGCTCAATGGGTAGTGATCAACGGCTCCACGTCTAGTTGACAGCCAGTATCAAGAGGAGTGCCCCAAGGGTCGGTCCTGGGGCCGGTTTTGTTCAATATCTTTATTAATGATCTGGAGGATGGCATGGATTGCACCCTCAGCACATTTGCAGATGACATTAAGCTGGGAGAAGTGGTAGATACGCTGGAGGGTAGGGATAGGATACAGAGGAACCTAGACAAATTAGAGGATTGAGCGAAAAGAAATCTGATGAAGTTTAACAAGGACAAGTGCAGAGTCCTGCACTTAGGATGGAAGAATCCCATGCATTGCTACAGACTAGGAACCGAGCAGCTAGGCAGAAGTTCTGCAGAAAAGTACCTAAGGGTTACAGTGGACAAGAAGCTGGATATGAGTCAACAGAGTGCCCTTGTTGCCAAGAAGGCTAATGACATTTTGGGCTGTATAAGTAGGAGCATTGCCAGCAGGAAAGAGTCCAGCGGAGGGCAACAAAAATGATTAGGGGGCTGGAGTACATGATTTATGAGGAGAGGCTGAGGGAACTGGGATTATTTAGTCTGCAGAAGAGAAGAATGAGGGGGGATTTGATAGCTGCTTTCAACTACCCAAAAGGGCGTTCCAAAGAGGATGGATCTAGGCTGTTCTCAGAGGTGGCAGATGACAGAACAAGGAGTAATGGTCTCAAGTTGCAGTGGGGGAGGTTTAGTTTGGATATTAGGAAAAACTTTTTCACTAGGAGGGTGGTGAAGCACTGGAATGAGTTACCTAGGGAGGTGGTGGAATCTCCTTCCCTAGAGGTTTTTAAGGTCAGGCTTGACAAAGCCCTGACTGGGATGATTTAGTTGGTGTTGGTCCTGCTTTGAGCAGGGGGTTGGACTAGATGACCTCCTGAGGTCCCTTCCAACCCTGATATTCTATGATTCTAAGGTCAAGGAGCCAGTCAGGAGGGGCGGGGGTGGATGTTGGGGAGGCATAAGAATCACTAACCCTGGTCGAAACACAACCTCACTTCCTACCCCTCCAATGGGATACAAAAGAGGTGATACTGAGGCTCCTGACCTACGGCCCTCCAAAATGGAACATGACCATAAATTGTAAGGGATGGTGCCGGGGTCATGCACTACAGGTATAATTATGCCTGCTAAGAAAGAGGAGGTTGGACAGGGAAAAGTTCTACTGGTTTACAACGCTATGGATATGCTTGCTTGATTAACTCCAATGAACATTACATTGCCTGTACTTTGGACTCAGCTTTC